CGCCGATAATTTCCTCCTGAGCCACCCTCTGGGATTAAAACCGAATAGTCGACTATGAGATACAAAACCGTGTCTTCTTCGTCACACTTGCATATTCCTTCTATGGTGATGCTCGGCGATATCAGGTTGGCTTTAAAAGCTCCGTGTCCTGTAAGAAACTGAGATGAGAAGTGGTTAGGGGAGACGAAACGGGCACCCATACTTTTCTTGATTTCCGGGAAGTACGCGTACGTAGTCCTTCCATTTGAGGAGTTGTCTCTTCTGGACTGCCAATCTCTGAATATTTCCCCGTTCACCTGTCATGCTCTCGCGTGGTTATGCTTCGTGCCTTCCAGTTTTCGGGTGGCTGTTTCGATGCTCCTATTTTTCCTGATATCACATAGTTTTCTACGCTTCAATAACTGGAGATCTATCGGAGGCTCCGCCACCACGAAGCAGAGGGATTCCATCGCGGTTGTATGGAACGCGGATGAAACCGAAATGGGGGCTGAACGCTGGGTCGCGGTTATCTTTTTCAGAACACCTTTTGTGCAGAAATCCGACCTTCCCGCTGCTTCATACGTGACCGTGTGAGTGATAACGCCTCGATAGATCGCCCGTAGAGCGCAGTGACGGAGTCCCCATTCTCTGGCCACTAAACTACCTAACTTCGTGCACAATGGCCCGACTTTGTCGTTAAGGTACCGGTAATGCGTCGTAACATCCAACTATCTATCAAAGTATCTAACGGAGTTCCTAAATTTTACAGTATTATTTCCTATCTTAATAGTGGGTGGCCTACTAGCTAAGTCGGTCTTTATTGATGATATTTTCCGCTACCTATCCGTTCGCTGTCCTTCTCTTCCATCAATGAGTCTCCATTTAACCCAATCACTTTTCAGGATAATAGCCTCTGCCTTACGTTCAGAGATAGATAGTTTAGCCGTCGAGCACAAACCGGTGGTGCTTTTAACCACGCTATATTTCTATTCCTTCCTAGAATCTCCATCTACGATGACGAGTAGGTCTTCCGCGTACGCGATCGCGTTGAATCTTCGAGTATCCGGAGGAGCTGGTCTACCATGAGTTTCCAGCAGGAGGGAACAAGGACCGATCCTTGTGGGCTTCCTCTCGAAGCCTGCTTGGAAATCTCATGACCTCCTAAAGGGATTTTTACCTTACGGTCCGCGAAGTAGCTTGTTATAACATTGAAAACATTTCTTGGACAGTCCTGATCCTGGAGTGCCTTAAGAACTAAGGGCCAACAAACTTTGTCGAAGGCTTCCGAGTTGTTGTATTACAATCCTATGACATATCTCCGTGTGAAGACAGAAACGATTCGGCGCATCTCTACTATCGCGTCCTCAGTAGAGCATCCCGGGACAAAGCCATATTGCTTGTCCGATAGTTTACCCTGTGCGACGGAAATTTCATTAAGGTGCAACTTAAGCAGCCTTTCTACAAACTTTCCTATGACAGAGAGAAGATAAATGGGCCGGTAAAACTTGGGATCCACAGCGCTCTTATCCACGCTTTTATGTAGTACTCTTAAGGGGCCCTCTTTCCAGATACTCCATTGGAGGCATCCGTAAAAGAGATCTATGAATAGGGATGGGATGGCGGCAATTGCTTTCTTGAGCACGCATACCTCGTTAAGGTCGGGTCGTGAGGCCTTTCCGTTTCTAAGGGATTCTATTACTCGCGAGACCTCTTCATTCGTGAAGAGAGGCATCCTCGGTATCAGGGACGTTTGGGAAAGTACTACGCACCGCGCGCTGTTCCGTCATATCTTCGGACACGCAGTCATCCGGGACATGCGTGTTGAGGAGGACTCTTGCAGTATCGCAAACATTCGTAGTCTTTCCGCCTTCTCGTTTGAGGGTGTTGATCACCCTTTCGACGCGAAGTTTTCCTGCCTGCTGCTTATAAATGTATCCCCACTGTTCCGCATTACCCTGCTCTATAACGAATTTTTCCAACTCTCTAATTTAGCACGTCGTACCACTTTACTATATTCTCGCAACGACGAACGGTATTCATGCAATAACCCGAACCGTGTCTGGTGGTCGTTTTCTCGCTGAAATGCGTGTCTTAGTCGGGAGACCGCTTTCTTCTGTGTTCTTAACGCAGACGCCCACCACTAGTTGGAATTCCTATGGGTCTTTTTGCGGGACATGGATTCGGAACACGCGGTTTGTAGGACACTGGTAAGCACATTGACTCGTGTCTCTAGGTCTGAAGCCGAACCAAAATTGCTTCCCTCCAGCCTTGCCGCGGAGAGGGAGAGTAGACGCTCGGCGAACAAGGCCCAGTCAGCTCTCCTAGTGCTGAACCTCTTATTCCCCATGCCACGCGCACCCCCCTCGACCCAACTTAGCCTTCGTGGGATGAATCGCGATATGAATCAAGTTATGGTTACAGAACGTCCAATCTGTTCTTACTTTCCATTGGCCAATGAATAGGATCATGGAGTGCTACGGGAGGATTACGTCAATATACGGGGAGCTTTTCGTCGTCCAAGTCGTGGGTGACTCCTTCACGTCGTTAATTACTCTTAACTCGGATGCCAGGATGAGGGCTTCTCCCTCATTCGAGCCTCCCTTATTAGTGCCCTGAGGACCCCAGAGAGAAGATCGCGCGTTGGCGTCCAGTGAAATAATTACTCTCTCCCCTCTTAGAGCTCGAAGTACCAACTCCAGGTGCCTTAGGTGCTCCCATATTTGGTAGCTACACTGGAAATAGTGAGAGACAACGCAGAAAGAGGTGCTGGGTGCCTGTATTTCCGCTCACACGTAGTGCGGAGGGCTGAGCTGCGAGATAAAAAGTAACGCGATGTTCGGATTAGTCGCCACTACCGCTAACCAAGGTTTTTCGTCGCGAGTGGTAGCTATCTTTGTTCCATTGCCTCATCCGATGATTTAGAATCATGTCCCGTGCCTTTGGACGTACGGCTCTTGCAAAAGCAGCACGTCTAGGCGCTTCTGACTAATCAATTCGCGGACATCGCATGTTACCGTTCTAGAACGCCAGATGTTGAGCTGCAGAAGATAGATTATCGAGAACGCACAATTTGTCGGGGTGGGGGAGGTATTGGTCGAGATCGCGTTGTTGCCACAAATTGATGCGTAGTGTTCGGCAAAGGTAACTCGCCGTGCATTCATTTCGAGATCCACGCCTATCCACGCCCTATTGTGAGAGGGGATACATGTGGGCCGTGTTCTTCGAGGGGTTACGATAGGGCGACGTCTACCTTTTCTGCCGCTTCCGACATTGGGGGGTGAGACCGTGCTACCTTCCTCAGCGTCTAGTTCAATAATTGGTGGTAGGGGGTTATTTCATCGCGTTATTTGAGCCCGATTGTTACTGGGGTTGCCTTATCCCTAGGGGCTGGGAGCAAATGTTCCGTTTTCGGAGAGGGCTGTACAGATTGCGAAGGATCGTCTGCGCACGTTCTCGGTCGCGTGATAATCGGTAGGCACTCTAAATTCTGTTCGGCCGGTACGTCACCCGAACTGGAAGGACATATCGCGCCTAATCCGGTGTTCGCGACAGATAGATCATCGACGGCATTCGTTTGCGTGGCCTTAGTAGATGGACTAGGCAAATTCCTATCGCACTTATCTAAAACGACTATAACCTCTCGAAGACTGGCTATCACCTGATACAGACCGGGTTGTGCGGGGCAAGGAACGAAGCGGGGATCGCACGGTGAGTGGCCCTGGACGACGTTCGCACATTCGACCGGCGTGTTGCTGCTTTCCTATGCTGCCTACGTCGGAAATGCATCCGCTTGTCACCCACGGTGTCGCGCTAGTTGCATTATGCGTAGCAATACGTAAACTTCTCCTCCCCACCCTAACTGCCCCTGGGAGCCTCCACCCAGAGATCCGAACGGGAGGCTAGTTTACCTCCTGAATAGTTTTCCCATCCTCCCGGGACTGTCAGGGATAACCTGACTATCACTGGAAGGATTAGCTGCCCTCCCCGCATTGAGGCGATTAACCCATTCCTGGAATCCGTCCACGCCGAAGATTCGATCAGGGTGTGTTCCGTCGTATCCTCACTCCCCTCGCAGTGGAAACAAGGTGTGGAGGAAATCTACTTTATCTAACTTAAATATGCCAAGAAACAACCATGGCCGGTCACCAGCTGTGTGGTGTGAAATGTCGTTACGATAGAGAAAGGCCTCCCAATCCACTCAGCCAACCATTCGGCAATAGCCGCCCTCGTGCGCTCTCCCGTTGGCTCTGGCGCCCCTACGTGCTTCAGTTTCTCAGCTTTCCATGATTATATTGGCCTCCTTCTGGCAAGAGCACCCAACTTTGCTCGCGGGGCAACAGGTTCCTCTGCGTTTCTAACTGCCGCATACGTCTCCGCCAGCTGGGGTGCCAAATGAGCGAGAGGAATAATGCCTGCAGTCGTCAGAGCCGCATGGAAGGAGACCGTCCTATATGCACAACACATCCGGATCGCCACCTTCCTTTGAACGCTCCGAACAGCCCTCCCGATCCTGATGTCCTCTACGAAGGCTCTCCACCACACTGGAGCCCCATATAGGAGCACCGAGTGGATCACGCCACAGTAGAGGCGCCGCTTCCTCTCCCCGGTCCGTGATGGTTCGGAAGGAACCACCTAGGGTACCGGAGGAGACCCTCGGCTTTAGGGATTAGGGCCTCAAAGTGGGGCCTGAACGACATCCTTGAGTCTATTACTATGCCCAGGTATTTAACACTGGTTCTAATCTTCACGCAAATCCCACTAAGGCAAGTCTTAGGGAGTGGGACATTCCCTCTTCTGCAGAAGTCAGAGGCAGGGAGGGCAATGGCCTCCGTTTTTTGCGGCACCACTTTAAGATCCAATTCCTCGATCTCTCTAACTAAAATGTCCAAGTCCCGTCCGGCATTCATGATAACCTGATACAGTTCTCTTACCGATGACAGAAGGGACGTTTCGTCCGAATAGCAGACAAAACGGGAGCCACGTGTCATCGTGGTTCAGAGGACACTGTCATAGGCAATGTTTCACAACATAGAGTCCAAAGTGGATCCCTGTAGGACCCCACAACTCACGTGACATTTCACAGGGCGTCCATACTTGTCCGTAAATGCTATGGCGCCATTGTCCAAGTAGCTCTTGGTAATACTAACCAGGTAGCGTGGAAAAATTTCACGCTCCATCGCCCTAACGATAACGACCCACGGCAAGGATCTGAAAGCGTTTGAGACATCCAGACTCACCAGGATAACCACCTCCCTGACCCGAGTCGATGCCTCCACCAAGTTTTTAACATCGAGGACGGCATTCACGGTGGATCTTCCCGATCTAAACCCATTCTGTGATGGCGACAGAGTCCGAGTCTCCTCTAAGTAGCTGTTGATCCAGTCAACAACTACCGGCTCGAATAATTTCCCCAGTTCGCCAATCACAGATATAGGTCTGTATGATCCCGGTGAGTCTGGGAGCGCGTCCTTTTCTGTTTGATCAGGATGAGCATCGCTACCTTACACTATGTCGGAAACCTTTCAGTCCTCAGGCATGCAGAGAAGAACTGCGCCAAATTTTTTCCTCATTGTGTCGACGCAGCACGCACAACCACACCCGGTAGTCCATCCAGTCCAAGAGCCTTTCTTCCTTTTCCTTTCTGGACAGCAGCCAAGATCTCCTCCCCAGAGATAGTCACCTCTGAGAACGTGGGTTCCTGTGGCGCATCAGTTCTGGGTCATCCTGGGAATAGCTCATAGAGGATATTCTCCAGTACCTCATTCTCCATGATTTCAGGTACTGGTGGGGCATAAGGCATTAGTTTCCCCAAGACCAGTTTGTAAAATCTGCCCCATGGATCCTTTATGGAGTCCAGCAGGTCCCTACATGAGTTTTTCTTGGATACATTAATAGCCCTAGTCAGTGCTCTCCTTGCGTCCCTTCGAGCATCCAGGCACCGGACAAATTCCTCACTGTTCCTCTTTTTCCTGGCTCTGGAAAGTTTCCTTACTGTGGCCGTCGCAACGGTCCTAAGATTCGTTAATTCGTCCGACCACAACTAAGTAATTTTTCTACCGCGAGATTGTCCCCTCACCCGGGACATTACCATGTCACACGCTTGCTTCAGTGTAAACCGTGCCCAATTTCCCATTTGGCCAAACAGTCCGTACAGTCCGCACTCCTCACGCACCTAGTTCCACCCGTCCACTCCCATGAAATGAGGGTCGCAGCCAAGTAGTCCTCTTCCAGGGAGTTAACCTTCCAGCAAGGAAGCTTTTTACATTGAGGGCGAGATTATCGGACTCCTGCAGTCTCGTGCCAGTAGCTATAACTAACACACAGGTGACCCGACAGGGACTCAGCATCAGCCACGCTCCACTCCGAGAGGCGGACGGCAGCCTCCAACCTGCCCTATGATAGATCTATAACGCTCGAAATCAGCGGTCGAACGCACGTGGGACAGCCAAACCAGTTCAGCAGACCTAGGTCCATTCTGTTGGCCCAGAAGCAGGACAACTCACACCTACGGTTTATCCTGCCTTCAGGATCCCATCTGCTGGACCGGGCCGTAAAGTAGCCAGCCACCAGCGCTGGGAGAGCGGGGAATATTTCTAAGATCTCTTCAAGTTCATCAAGGGGTCTACTAAACATGATCATGTTCTTGCTGGGAGAAAAGTAGACCGAAACTACTTGAGAGTCCCCCCATTTAACGGCTATGTAAAAACACCCCGACGAACCAATCTACAGGGTCTTCTACTCTCGCCCAGAAACACCATGGAAAGTGGAGTCCTTCCTAGGGATGAGAACCACCTCTCATCTCCCAGAGGAAACCACCATGGTTCTGCAATGTCCGCGATCCTCTCCACTCTGTCCTCTTGCACGCGCTACGCCAGCAAGACCTGTGCTCGGCGCGCGTGGATCATGTTTGTTTGTATAACAACAGATGACAGTCTATGAACCCTCCGCTGCTTCTACCACTATCGAGGTGCCCGGTACATCTTGTTCCACCTCCATGTCTTCGTGTACACTTCTCTTCTCGGTCACTTTCTCTGTCTTTGTAGTTTTTTCACCGACCTTATGCGAGTCTTCTTGGGTTGTTGTTTCCGGGCAAATATTTGGTGCCCTCACGAACACCTTGCCCTCCCATTTTCTGGGAATCACTACTGGGCACTCCCAAGAACCGGCACGGTGTCTTGTCGGCTTCCGGCCGGCATCTGCACAAACCAGACACACCGTCTTGTCCGTACATGTTTAGGCCAAGTGGCCCGGTTTTCCACAGATGTAGCAAAGGAATGTTCTGGGCTTTTTCGCCGGGCACGATACTGCAACATGTCCTCGCGCAAGGCACCGGTGGCATCTGAGGGGCCACTGCCTGAATTCATTCACCTTCAATTTTTTAAGTCCCACGTCTATTCTGTCCCTCTCTAGTGCCACCCGAATGACAGGCACCGGGGCAGGACACCGTGGCCTCGCTTAATCTGCCCCTGCCAATCCTGATTTCTCCAGCCTTAATGATGTTGGGGTCTGCTCCGGATCGCACCTCCAAAAGCGCGTTCCTTCTGACGGTCCCGTTAGCGTACGCATCCAGTCTCTCCAACCTTATGGTGCTCGTGCGCACGGAGCGAGTAATCTTCGCTCCTGAGACGGAACTCCTTAAGGCCTCCGCAACCCGGTCGCCCTTATCATTTGCCCCTTTCCCTCGTACCTGCCATATAACGGCAGCAGTGAGGCCTCTCCTACAGGACATGGTGCTGATTCCCAGGTCTTTGAGGTTGATCCCCTCCGTGGCCCGGACGAATGCGTCTCAGTTCGTCGGCTCCACCGTACAGGATAGGGAAATTGCAGCTACTTCTCTTTTCTTTGCATTCCCATCTTTTTTCGCTGCACGCAGCTGCTCCTCTTCCATCATTTACTAGGGGGCGCCTTTCCCCGCAAGAGTTGAGGATCGCTGACTTCATTCTTTGATGTAACCAGGGAGAGTATATTCGCTTCTCTCCTCTGGACCCGTCTCCTGTTTCGGCCAAGCATCTGTACAAATTCATCCTGCGGGGTTAGTGTCTTACCTACACTTACCTGTTGCGCAGGGGGCCTAGTGGACACAGCACGAATTGTAGGGCCTTTGTGTGGTTCACCAGTTCCAGTCGCAGCACCAGTCGATGTCTGATGCCGCTGTTGCTGCTGCTGTTGCTGCCTGTACTGCTGCTGCTGCTACCGCTGCTACTGCCGCTGCCGCTGCTGCTGCCGGTGCTGCAACTTCTGCTGATGTTGCAACTTCTGCTGATGTTGCGGCTGCTGTTGCTGCTGCAATTGCTGCTGTACTTGCTGCAGATGTTGCTAATGCTGCTGCTGTACTTGCTGCTGTTGTTGTTGCATACTGCGGACAGCCTCCGCCAATATCCTTACCGACTCGAATGTGTTTGTATCCGGGGTCCTTTCTTAGCTTTTCACATCCATGGGATTTTCCAGAATTTTTTCCCTCTTCTTAATTGCTCTCTTGAGGAAAATGTTCTCCTCCGTGGTTTCCCAATTGGGCAAATCCATGGCCCTGAATTCGGCCTTCAGCTACACAATGGTGTCCTTTGCTATCGGAGGATCATCTGCTCGGGTTTGTAGCATCATCCTAAGAATCTTGAGTCTCTCCATTGTTACTCTATGGGTACGTTTCATGGCACCATATATGCCCCTTTAAGGTTGCGGCATCTCAACCTAGCACTTTCGACCTCTATTGAAGCATACCTCAGCATATCGATCGCCCTACTAGTCTCCATTTGAGACAAGGTGGGAATCTCCGCTGGTCTTCCCTCATCCAGCACGGGTCAGTCTATCCCCGACTTTTACTCTTCGAACGAGCAGACCACGTACCTCGCGTTTATTCTTCCTCCCCTGCTTTGGTGACTTCAAGGTGGAGAGCCTAATGCTCTAACGATCCTGGCAGCTTTTTGCGACTCTGTCAAGAGGTACTCTTTCCTTCCTACACTTCTTGGCGCATTAGACACACGGCACTGCAGGCCAGGTCGACTACCTGTGGTTCCCTTCCTGACGCATTATCCAGAGCTGGGGCCAGGTTTTCTACACCGAGCCCCTGGCAGTCGTTGGTTGATTATAGCGGGTGTCCTGTCATACCTCCACTTGACACCGCCGTGGTATGGGTATCCCTCCCACGCCCTCTTATTCCATTGGTCGTACTATGCATGTTTGATTGAATAAATGTTAATGAGATCCATTCATCTCAATGGAAGGGAAAGGAATGAATGGAAGCCAAAGAGAGAGAGAGAAAGATTAGCCAAAGATGTGACAGAAGAGCAAAGAAACGGACCATCATACAAGAACATTCATACAACATTCACACAATCCCATTTAGTCGCCTCTAACTACAAGCAGGGAGTATTGTGGGAGTATTCTACACCTCCTACCCCAGGGGGGAAGATCACGTTGAGCGTGTGTTGAGCACTGCTAGCTCCAGTCTCGACATCACCTCCATGATTCGTCTCCCTGTAGAGTCCAACCTGGCCTACCCCATTCGAGAGCTTTGGCATTGAGGTCTCCAACCGCAACGAGTTCCCCTTTCATTTCCCGTAGCGCGTCTTCCAAATCTTCCAGTATGTTCTTCGAGTCCTCTATCCGGTCGTTCGGGGTGAGATATACGCTGACATAAGTCATCGAGTTATGTCTCTCCCAAATGTAACCGCCTCTGGATCCTTGATCCGACACATATATCTGTCGGGGATCAGGTTTCCAGATGGCCGCGATGTCCAATTCGTCGGTGTACCTTCCCGCTCCTGCCCTGCCATGGTACTTTTCGCTTATTAGAACAACATCAGCTTTTTTCTCAGAGCAGAGCTGGATTAGAAGGTGTTGTGCCGTCCTGGTCCAACTGAGGTTACCCTACAGTACTCTCATCCTTTTTCTTCTTGGCTGTTGCAAGGGCCTCCTGGACGGCTTTGCATACCCTTGATCCAGCCAGGTGTTTCTTAGGTCCAGCAACGCTATTGGAGCACAAGAAGCAAGTAAACTCGCTGACCTGACAGTCTTTGATCTTGTGCCCCGTGCCGCCGCAGAAATAGCAAAACTTACTGCGATCAGGGCCCTTGTACGAAGCGCTATGGTGTCCACAGTCGAGACATCGGTTTCATCGCCTCACTTCTGCTCTTCCGCCGACTAGCACTCAAGTGGCCTCCAAAAGCTTCGCAGCTGCTTTCTCTTCTATTTTGACAAGGATCAGATGTTGCCTCGCGTTGGGGTTCGTCATTTTAACTTCGAATTTCCCCGCGTAGTCTGGCAGGGTCCACTTTAGGGCCTTCTCGACTTCTACCAACGATGTGCTGGAATCGCAGTCACGTTTCTCCAGCGTTGCTCTAGGGACCAGTTCAGCGATGCTGCTCCTTTCTCTTACTTCTTTCCTGAGGGTTTCTGCGAATGAGGCCCTGATATCCGCAGTGATCTTATTGAGTTCGAAGAGAACCCCTCCCGTTCTTATCTCCCGGACTGATCTAACGTATTACATTGCAGTGCTGACCTTAATGCGCTGGTGGATCGCACCGACTACGCCTGCGTAAGATTTACCTAGCGCAAGCTTCAGGAGGATCGCACCCAGTTTCATCCTCTTTCTCGGCCAATCCTCCGATTTGCTCGGATTCTTTATATCCTGCTGAGGGTGTTTCGTCGCCTTCTTCGCTGGTTGTTCCTTATTTTTTCCGTTCTTGACGACCTTCGTCCACTTGGTGGCTTTGGTCGTCGTCGCCTCTTGCCTCGGACTTTTGTGGCTTTCTCCAGGCAACTGCTGTAGGCTTGTAACTACTCTCTTAACAGCGCCAGCATCTGTTATAGAATTTGCCCAAGGCCTCAGAGAAACTCGAGCGAGGGTCCTCGCTCCCTTATTGAACTTTTTGCGAGATTTATACATGAACTCGAGACTGTCAATGATGTCCTGATAACAATATTTATAACGATAATTATAGTAGTAATAATTACGGTAATAATAGCGATAATAATTAGGATAATAACAACGATAATAATAATAACTAAATTAACCATAATAATATTAATAACAATAATAGTAATGAAAATAATGGCGGTAATAATAACGATTATAATGAGGATAATAATAAATACAGTAATAATAATAGTAATGGAGAATATTAATAACGACAA